TTTTGATATAATTACAACCAATCAAGTGCATGTTACTAACATCAAATCATAAAACATATACGGATTTCAGAATTTGATTAACTAGATTGATAAGAACCCTAGTTCATTGATCAAGTGAAAAAGAGAACTAATCAAACATATAATTAAGATCAAATCAAAGATTACTAGATGATAAACATAAAGTCAAGTGCAAATTACAATCTAACAACAAACACTTAGAAATCTGGAATCGGAAATGATAGAGAAATCAGCCACACATGTCTAAATTAAACTACAAAATTCAACAAGTTTGATCTTCAAATTAACTTACAAAAAGCAAATTAAAGTGTTTCCAAGATGCTAGATGATGATATAATCTCCCAAAATCGCCCCCTGAAGTTCCAAGTCGAAGTTATGTTTTTATATGCCATGAACCATAGATAAATCGGAAGTTAAAAATTCAAATTCCAATCAGATCACGTTACACGGCCTGTGTAACGTATGCCTTGTCATTACACGGCTGTGTAATGACTCTAATGTGCTGAAATGCTTCCAAAGCACGGCCGCGTAACGTATTCCTTGCCAAAGCGCGGGCCGTGTAATGCAGTACATAATAGTCGTTTTCTGATTTTCTTCATTTCTTCAATTTAGCTCCGAAAGTTCCGAAATTTCACCGAGAGCTTCCTTTGACCATCCTAAGCATGCTCCAATCTTCAAATCACCCTGAAACATCCACAAAAATTGGTGAAATATCGATAGATCCTTGATAATGTCCCTAAATGCAAAATGTATGAAAATAACACTAAAAATGCAATACAATGCTATAAATAACCATGAAATTAACCTAAGAAAATGTGCAATTTATGCACCTAACAGGGTGTGTGTAACACCCCGTTTATTATGTAAATAAATAAATAAAATTAATAGGAATTGTGGCCCTAAAATCCGTAATTATATAGCAAGATGTTGGTTTCGAGGAGTTAACTGGCAATTTTAGAAGTCGAGGATTAAAAGTGTAAGTTTTGGACTTAGTTTGTAAATATATATATGAAGACAGGGGTCTGTGGTAATTATTTGGATTTAATTTAAAAAGGAAAAGAGGTGGAGGGGCTGAATATGTCATAATTAAGATATTAGGGGTTGTTTGGTAATTCATGGGTCGAATTTGAAAGGAATTTATGAGATCAGGGGCTAATGGGTAAATATTAGATTTAAAGTGAAGAAGATGTTGTGGGGAGGGACTAAAAATGAATAAATGAGTGAAAGTTTCAAGAACACGGGACTTATACCCGACGACTCTTCCCTCCCTCTCATTTTAATGGAACAGGAACCCTAACCCTAATTGATGCTCAGCCGCCACCACAAGAAACTACCCTAGCCGCCATCGGCGGTGTCGAGTCCGACCGCCGCCTCCTTGCTGTTGAAGCTGGAGTCCACTGTACCCAAGTTCGCCGGCGAAGCCGCTGCCAGCGACGAAGAGCAGCATAAAGACGCCAGCATCGGGTTGTCGCTGCCCTCCTCCGGTGATACGAGCTATGTTCGCCACTGTGCAAGTCGTGTGTGAACATGAAGTTCTCGGTAAGGATCGCAACCACCCATCTATTCCTTTCTCTTCATTCTTTCTGTGATTGGAGTAGTTTACGTCGACAGGGGCTGCCGGTGGCTTTGGATCACCGTTTTGTGTTTCCGATTGGCACTGCCACCGTAGTGGCTGGGTTGGGAGTAATTCGGTGTCCAACTCTTGTTTACGAGTGTGTATGTATGTTTGCTCGGCTGGGGACAAAGAAAAAACCATCGCCACCACGTGAGGTGGTGGCTATCGTCGCAACCGCTACTGCTACTGTGTTTTGCTGTTGTTGCCGCCGCCTTAAGCCACCAGGTGGGTGGCTGGAGTGTTGGATGCAAACTGAAGTTTATGTGTGTGTGTTTTGTCTAGTCGGAATACCAAGAACAGCCACCACCACCACCGTGAGGTGGTGGCTGCCACCATCTACCACCACCGGCCACCATAGGGTGGCTGTGTGTGTTTATTTTCTTTAGTGTGTGTTTATTTTGAGATTTAGCATTTTAAAGTATAAATTACAATTTGGATAATGAAAAGAAAACTGAAAACCACCACCGTAGGGTGGTGGCTGCTGCCACCGGTCACTGTGTCGGATGGCGGTGTGCTTGCCTTGTTGAGTTTGATTCGTTTGGGATGCTTGAAACCCTAATGGGCCCAATGAAGCCCTAATGGGCCCAGCGAAACCCTAATGGGCCTGGTGAAAACCCTAATGAGTCTATTGGACCCTAGTTGACCTAAAAAAGCCCAAACATGTGTCTAATGGGCTTAATGGACCCTAATGGATCTAAGGATTTAGCTATTGGGCCTATTGGGCTAAGATGGGTTGGAAACCCTAATTAGGGTTTGGAAAACCCTATGCATGAAACCCTAATTTGGGATTTATCGGGACCGCATCAGAATTATTTAATGAACTTAAACTATTAATTAATAATCATTGCAAATTAACCTAAGGCCATGTGGGACTTAATGGATTAAGTCCTTAATGGGTTAAGTAGGAAAACTTAACCCTAATCATCATTTTATGTGAAACCCTAATTTCACTTGGGCCTTAAGTTGGGCATTTCCATTGGGCTTTGGTAATTGAATTATTAGTGGGCCATCCAAGAATAATCTTATGGACTAGAATATGTTGATGGGCTTAGGGTATGGCCCATATGAGGGTTTGGGCCCAATTTGGAAAATTGGGCCATAAATTGGCCATAGTTTGGGCCTTAATGATTAAATGATATCGGGCCATTAGAATGTCAAATGTTGGACTGGAATAAATGGTTGAGCCTTAGAGTGAGACCATGTAAAGGTTTGGGCCCAATTTGGAAAATTGGGCCATATGTTGGGCCTTGATTTACAGATTGACCTTTGGGCCTTTGGATAGGGCCTTGAGTCTGAATCAAGCTAAGATGGGGGTAAAGTAGTCTTTTACCCCAAGCATGGACTTATGATTTTTTGTGTTGGGACCCAATTATTAATTGGGTGATGTTTGATATTGACAGTTCGAGAATCTGTCAACCAGCAGCTGGGATTGTGTCTACGGGACTTCAGCAGTGTGAGGTGAGTTACCTTCCAGTAGCGGTGGGTCTACGGCCACAATGCCGGCCCACCAGTAGGAGTTGTATGTTAGATGATTGTCTTTGTGATATTCATCTAGGTTTATGTGCTAGCATGATATGTTATATGTGATAGTGGTAGTATGGGGAGAATAGTCCCCAAGTTCGGTCGTTAGGACCGAAGGGTAGGTCGGGCACCCCAGAATTGCCTGACAGTATGTTTATGCTATGATATTATGTGGTAGTAGTAGGAGGTGAAATGGTCCTCGTATGTCGGTCGTAAGGACCGACGGGTAAGTCAAGCACCCCAGAATGGCTTGACCTGGGTAGGTCAGGCGCCCCAGAATTGCCTGGCAGTATATGTGTGTTATATTATTGTGTGGTAGTGGTAGGGGTGAAATAGTCCCCGGTAGTAGGGTGAAATAGACCGACGGGTAAGTCAAGCACCCCATAATGGCTTGACCTGGGTAGTCAGGCACCCCAGAATTGCCTGACAGTATGTTATTGTATTGTGTGTGGTATGATGGGGGAACTCACTAAGCTTCGTGCTTACGGTTTACAGTTTTGGTTTCAGGTACTCGTTTTCAAAGGAAAGGAGTCGGCTTGATCGCAGCGCATCACACTATGTTTTCCGCACATGAGATCGTTGGGATTACACTCTGATATGGTTTTATGATAATATGTTTTAATTATTGACACTTTGGTTTTGACATGAGATATTAATATGAATGTTTTTATACTGATGGTTTTATATAATAACTTAATTAAAACGAAATTTTTGGTCTTAAATTTTGGGATGTTACAGTGGGTGTTGGTAGGTAGGTTGGGGTGTGGTGGGTTGGGGGTAGGTAGAGGTGGGAGTGGGTGTGTGTTTATATTTTGGAAAAATTTTGAAAATAGAAAAATGCGGAAAACAATGATTATTGGTTTTCCAAAAATTTCCAACTTCTTTATAATTTTACAAGAAAAACGGAAAATTTTCATTTTCCATGAAAAATTTAGAAAAATAGACGAACTAAACGCGTTTTTAAAATTCTCATTTTTCTTGTAAAATTTTTCCAGAAAACGGTTCATTTTTTCCGCAACTAAACGCACCCTTAATAATTTTTTCTTTAACAAACATCTCCTTATATGTATGGTGAACACCAAAGGGCTTCTAGCCTAGCGGTACCAGATGTTGCCCTCTTTCCTTGAGGTTGAGTGTTCAAGTCTCATTGGAGACATAGGTGAAATTAGGAGTAGAGTAGAATTGTCGTTCTAAAAAAAAGTATGGTGAACATACATTGGTTTGATTATCTATATTAATTTTTGGATTATTTTCATCAAATAGTTCTTAAGATCCTGTTAACAATTTTGTTTATTTTTAATGATCATCAACCTGAATACATTCATTCAATGATGCCATCTTATGTGTAAGACAAGAAGGTTGTTAAATTGAACTATATGTGTAGTTTTATTCCTGTAAGGAATACAACAACAAAGAAGTGTAACAGCAGCAACAACAAAGAAGAAACGTGGCTAAAATGCTAGATAGAAGGTAAGAAACAATGGAATTGGTAGACTACTATGTATGTATTGTTGTATAGCAATCTCCAATTTAATATGTCAAGTTTAGCATTGATTTTAAAGTAACGTTATTCAAATTCAACACTACTTGTTACGCCTATACATAAAAAATGATGATGGCAAATATGATATTATACAATTCATTAGTATAAAAGTTGGTGTAAATTGTAAACGGTTGTTATTTATTTATTTATTACAAAATGGATGTTTTACTATGTCATCTCGGAACTCAAGGTCTAGACGAATATATTGTTATAACTGATCATTTTTCTTATGAAATACTAAATAAACATTATAACTTGTAAGAGACTATGTTAACAAGGCATGAACATGAAAAAGGAAGAAATCATATTATTTGGTATTTATGGCCTAAAAACCATTCCTTGTTAATACAAGATTCAACTTATACACTTATTTTCAAAGATAAACATATATCTAAGATAGGTCAAAGGCGGGAGAGGCATGCATAAAACCTTAAAGAAACCAATTTTTGTCATCACTGGTTGATCCATCCATCCATGTTTGGTGCACATGCACCCAAGTCAACCCTTGTGAAGGTTTCACATCCTGCAATCAACAACAAACATTTAACATTGCCACACTTCATCACAACAATTCTTCTCCCAAAAAATGTTACCTTTGAACTCAGTATAACTGTAGTAAAGCAACACATTTGCTCTTCACCTACAATTTACAAAAAAAAAAAGAAAACCATGATGTTTCATTTTTATTTTCTGAGTGTAAAAATGAAGAATCCAGGATAAAGATGACACACCAGATTGCTCCAACTTCTTGAACTTCACCAGCCATGTGTTTGAATCAAGCTGAGAAGGGAAAACTTGATCAACCCAAATTCGAAATTTTTTCCCTTTTTTCTCCCCATAGCATTCTTCTAGCTTACCAATCACTTCATGAAGAGATTGCTCAGCACCATATGGACTAAAATAAGAACCAGACGAAGACTGCATAAAAAATGATACCACAAAAAACATGGAGTAAAAATACCAAAAATAAATTAAATAAAACATGAGAAAAAGTGGCTCAACTTACACAAACTGCTTTCAAATTCTCCAAATATTGTTCAGGATTCTCAATATCACCACGAAACCACCTCTCAAGAAACAAGTAAAACTTTGACTACTTCATATGCAGGGTCAAAATCGTCCAACTTGAAAAGGTCAGATAAGGATAAGTCTCTGGGTGATGTGTTTGGTCCAAGCTTAAAATGACCAATTGCTTGTATAATACCAGCTGCACATGTTTCATCTGCATGTATAATCATAGGGTTATTTTTGGCATTTTCAGCATACCACTGCAATAGTTCTTCTTGTGCATTCTTGACCATGACACCGTGTACATCTGGAATGGTGAACAGCTCAGCATCATTCCCAGAATCCCCACAAGCCAGGGTGTTTTTTGGTAATTTCCCCTCGGCTACCATCTTTTTATGCAAATAAGCAAGTGCTTGTCCTTTTCCAGCACCTTGGGGTAGTATATCCAAATCCATCCCACCACTATATATTATTTTCACATCTAGCTGAAAAAAAAAACCCATCAAATCGGTGATTTAATGAGAAAAAAGAGAACCCTTCCTGTATATAAGACTAAAAAACATCAAAAGAAGCTCACCCCTCGTTTTACAAGAATTTCAGAAAGATTTTTCATTACTTCTTGAGCCTTTTCTTTCTCAACTTTGAAGCTAACTTTGTGAGGGCGTTGCTCGGTTTCAGACTGCAAAAAAAGTAACAAACTTTTTAAAGATCAATTTGATAGTATAATGAATAAAGTAAATTTTTATATTTATATTATACCTGAAGAGTAAGTTCAGGGAACTTGCTTGTTTCTTCTGTTACAATCTTTTTGTCCCATTTATGATTCAAAAACATCAAGCCAACCTTCATCTGGAACCATTGAATTACCATATGTTATCTCGGTTCCCACAGACAATATGGTAATATCAGGGGTTAACATGGGCTTTTCTTTTCTCAACTGTTTGTATAGTGTAGGTGATCTTCCAGTTGAGAATACAAGCAATGAATCATGACGATATTTAGCTTCCCATAAAGCATTAAACCTTAGTATAGAGAGGTTTTCGGGATCATGATGATCAACCTACAAAGCGTCTCATTTAATAAAATGTATAGTATGTATACAATGAATTAATGTGGAAGTTTCTGAATAAATGGATCCAAAAAGATACCATGGTATGATCAAGATCTGAGACGATCATGAGGCGTGCAGAACTTGTGAGCCGATTCATGATTGTGCTTGTTATTTAACCACCCTGTAAACCATAAAGTCACCTATGTCATTTAATTTGAAGGGCTTGACATATTCCCTCTAACCATGGTTTAACTCTACATGTAGTTTGATAGACATTGTTGGATTACCTATCAAATGTCTAATATGACCTTCAATAAGAACAAGGTAAGCAGACATTGTGAACTAAAGAAATTATCAACAAATATAGGGCATTTCTTGTCTAAGATAACTCATTTTTTGCATTGTGTAGTGTCAATATCTTCTGTTTTTGCAGAATGCTGGTTTTCTTTGCAAAGAAAAGTCAAGTTTGATGGTTTAAAAACTCAATAACTCAAAAAGAATATATTGGGGTTTGCACGAGTGCATAAAGTTACTCTCACAGAAAGTGAACCAAAAAGTTGGTTGGCATTTAAAGGCGATTACAACAGTTACTTGATAAACCTAGATTTCAATTTTCACTACTTTTAGGCATACATTCAAATCAATGTAAACAGGTTCTAAAACAAACAACGCCAATATATGAAAGGAACCGTCTCCAGTAATTCTTATCAGCATATATGTTAGATCAATCCGGCAACATGCTCTGTTACAGAATCAACAAAAGGGGAAGGGATTTAAACCGAATGCCATTCACGATTTCAAGTTATCACACTTGAGAGTTGCAAAATGATACATCGATTCTAAATAGTTTCAATTTCCCTCTTTAGAATCCCCTCAGTTCATCAATCTCGATATGAGACACCCATTAATCAAAAGGTTTCTTCGATCTTGAGATAAAATAATGAGAGGGAAAATATCGTTCAAATTAGTTTTTAATCACATAAATCTGAACCCGCTGACAGTTACTGAAAAATCAAAACACATGTGTAGAGATTTCCAATTAACTAAAATCGATCTCCGATCAAATGGTTTTGCGCATGAGAAGGCGAGATTTCAAGTTGGAAGAGATTACTTACCAGGAGAAACCGGGGATTCTGAAACAGTTGATATGGGAGTGGTGATGGATGGTGGCGTCTTCTTTGAGATATGAAAGGATCGGATCGTAGTTGCTTGGCGCTTTCTGGTGACGAACGTGGCCGTTAAAAAGAAATCAGAATTCCTACAGAATATGCCATAAAACGAATTTCTATAATTTTAAGAACTTTTTTTTATTTAATAATAATAATAATAATAATAATAATAATAATTTATGAGATACTTTTACGACACTTTTCTAAATTTATCAGATGATTTTAAATTGTGATATTAAGAGTTCAGAAGGTTAGTTTATCATAATCAGAGAAGGTTAGTTTATCATAATCAGAGAGAATAAGTGTTGTTTGATTCTTTATAAATGAAGGATACATGATTCATGAGTAATCTCTTATTTTATCTTTGTATTTATATAATAAGTTAGATAAAAGTTTTCAATATGAATCATGAGTAGTCGCTTGTTTTATCGTGGTTTTTTATAATAAGAAAATAAAACTTTTGAATCACTCAAACAATTATATATAGAAGTATTTTGTTTGATTGTGTTTGGATGGAATGATGTTAAGTTACAAGGGTTAAATGGATATTTAATGCATCTATAATAAGACTATAAGAGCTTTTTGTGAGTTATTTTAAAGATCTTTTTACCCAAAAAAAAACTAATATAATGTGAAAAAACTATTGTTGGAGTTTTTCAAACTTAAGTTTTTTCCCATAGCTAGATAACTTGCTATTTAACAAGCTCTTGGCTTGAGTTGTTTCAACAAATTGGTGGGTCTTTTTTCAAACGGGATGGCGGCGGCGGTGGTGGTGGCGGCAATTGTGGCAGTGGTGGTGATGGGGTAGTGGTGGTGGTGATGGTGATGGTAGGTCGGTGATTGTGGTAGTGGTAGCGGTGTTGGGTGTGTGTGTGTGGGGAGGGGGGTGTGAGTTTGTGTGTGTGTGTGTGTTTGTGGGGGTTGGTGTGTGTTTGTGAAGGTTGGCGTGTGTGTGGGTTTGTGGGTGTGTGTGATTGTGGGGGTGTAGGTGGGGGTGGGTGTGTGTTTGTGGGGTGGGGGTGGGTGTAGGTGTGTGTATGTGTGGGGGGGTGGGCTTGGAAGTGAGTGTAGGTAGGTAGGGGTGTGGTGGGTTGGGGGTGTTAAGGTGAGGGTAGGTAGAGGTGAATGGGGTGGGAGTGAGTGTTTATATTTTAGAAAAAAATTGGAATTAGAAAAATGTGAAAAACAATGATTATCGGTTTTTCAAAATTTTCCAACTTCTTTGCAATTTTAGAAAACGGAAAATGAAAAATTTAGAAAAATAGACGAACTAAACGCGTTTTCAAAATTCTCATTTTTCTTAGAAAAATTTTCCGGAAAACGGTTCATTTTTCCGCAACTAAACGCACCCTAAGTTTTTTTTTTATTATTTTAGGTTTTTTCATGAAAAATTCTAACAAAAACCTCTCTTATTATGGATGTGCAACACTATCTATTGCCAACATCCTTTGATACAACCCATTATACATATATATTAAAGCGCATGGAGTATTTCAACAGAAATCTTTTTGGTTTTGGAGTTTGGCCACATAATTTTCAAACTTTGATAATTTTAGTCCCCATTGTTTATTTTTTCTTAATTTTGTCACACAACTTTCACTGTCTTTTTTTAAAAAGGTCACATAATTTTCAAGCTTTGATAATTTTAGTCCCCATTGTTTATTTTTTCTCAATTTCGTCACACAACTTTCACCGTCTTTTTTTTAAAGAAATCTTTCAACAGGAATGTTTTTGCTTTTAGAGTTTGGCCATATAATTTTCAAGTTTTGATAATATTAGTCCCTATTGTTTATTGTTTCTCAATTTCGTCACACAACTTTCACCGTCTTTTTCTAAAAAGAATGACCCGTGCAACGCACGGACCTTTTCCTAGTTATATAAAAATCTATAAGATATATCCTCGGTATTTTTTATTTTATTTTTTGTATGTATGACTTGCGTTAGTTGTTTAACAAACTTATTCCAGAGAATGTGGAAAATGTAAATGTTATAAATAGTGTAACATTTTTTATTTTAATAGGATATTCATACTTGTATCGGAACATAGCATATGATTCTAAAATTATCAATTGTTGCATTTAACCTAATTTTCAGCTTTTCTTTTTCTTCCCAAAAATGTATCTTCTTTTGCTTTGATATTTTTTTTAACTCTTTTGACTAATTAGTTTCTATAAATTAATTGTTTTTGTTTGGTATTTACATTACAATTAAAAGATTTTTGTCTTCCCAAAAATGTATCTTCTTTTGCTTTGATATTTTTTTTAACTCTTTTGACTAATTAGTTTCTATAAATTAATTGTTTTTGTTTGGTATTTACATTACAATTAAAAGATTTTTGTGTTTGTCATGTTGAAATGTGACATTTTTCAAACTAGCTTTCATTTGTACTATAAGTTCAATCTTCACCGTCTTTTTGGTAATTTATTAATATACTAGGTGTGAGACTCATGTATTACATGGGTTAAATAAAAAAAAATTAAATATCATAATATAAGCATTAAGTATTTTTTAAAATTAAATTTTAAAATAAGGAAGCAAAAACATATTTATTGAAATTTATGATCACATTTATTATATTTAATACTTACTTATATAATTATATGTATTATGTGGCTTTTTAATTTTAAAAATTAAAAAAACCTACAAATTGACATGTGAATATTATTTATTTTAAAAATATCAGAAAATGACAAGTGTCAAAACTTTTAAGAGATTGACATTTAGCAAAATAGATCTTCATTTATTATGGTAGATGTCATGTGAATATATATATATATATATATATATATATATATATATATATATATATATATATGTTATTAACGGTTTAGGATGACCTTGACGCATCACAACTAATTTATAAGTTATCTTATGTTTTTGACTTTTTTAAAATTATCATGTTTTGCAAATTAAACGGGTTGTTTAGAAAACTATTTTAACTAGATTTTCAAAAGTCTTTTTTTTTTTTTACAATTCTTCCAAATATGTTGTTAATAAATTATAAGAAAACTTATTTTTCTAAAATACTCTTTAATGTTATTTATATTTTCTAGCTAGTTTATAAGCTAATTTTACCAAACACTATTTTTATCGACTAGTTTTTTAGTTACCAATTTCTCTAACAATTAGTTTTTGAGATAATCTACTAAACATAGCCTTAGTACAGAGTTGGTTACCAACTCGTTAAACTATTATCTTTCTAAGTTCATAAACAAATTGTTTTAAAATATGTATGTTTTCCTATCATCTCCAAAACTAAAATCAAAATGTAGCTTGACTTAAGATATAAACTATTACTCCAATATTGTTAGGAATTACAAGTAATATATGTTACAAAAGCAAATTAATTTCATCTACCTTTAAGACGACTTAGATTGTAATTAGAAAAATAAATCGTAATTGCTGGAAAATGGATTAAAACAAAAAACACATGTTTAAAACCTAAAACCCAACAACCTATGGGTTGAAACCAAAAAACCAATGCCAGAAACCGAAAACCGAACCCACTCCAAAACCAAACCGAATAGGTTTCAAAAGCTGAATACTGAATTTTTAGGTTTAGGATCGGTTTTTCCCCCAAATGACCTATAGCAAGTCATTTCTTAGTGTCATTGTTATTTTTTTACATGGATAGTCGCTATATTTTCAAAAGATAAGGACTTAATAACCAAGGTTATTTTATTTTGATTAAAATAAAGATATAATTACATACAGACGATTTACACTTCAACTTTTTAACAAGAATAATTAAAAAAAAAAAAAAGGAAAAAAACCTATAAGAATTTAACATAATCCGGTTATAAAGCTAACTATAATGATGAAGACGTTCCTCTTATGTTTTGATGCTCATCCCAAAATCACGTTCTTCCATCATATCCACAAATTCACTGTAATCGATCCTCCCATCCTATAACACCAAAAGAGGTTAAATACTAATACTGTCACAGAAAGATGATAAGTTTGAAGAATAAGAACATGTGTGTACATTGTCCTGGTCGACTTCGTTCATGATTTCATCAAGTGGTATATCACCCAAACCAAATTTCTCACACGCCTGATGAAGCTCCTCTACGGTGATGTATCCACTCCCATCTTTGTCAAAATACGAGAAAGCAGCAAACAAATGATCCTCCTTCTGGATTTTATTACAGTGCAGCATCGCTGCTGTAAACTCCCCATAGTCTATCGTTCCATCGTTGTCGATATCCGCCTGCAATTTAATTTGGATTCGGTTTAGGGTTTTTTTACAGTTTTGCAGGCGTTCATGGAAATTAATCAATTATTGTAGTTAATGTGAATTACCTACCGCTTCCATAAGTTTGTTCATGTCTAAATCCTTAAAGTTGGCGCCTGCTTTTACCAACCCTTCCTTTAATTCCTCTAATGTGATTTGACCACTGCCATCTGTGTCCATCATCTTGAACATCTCTTTCAATCCAGCAATCTCCTCTTCAGATAGACTCTCAGCAATAACCTGTTCAAATCACTAAACTAATCTCAATCTTTAAGCAAAAATGGTAAATATAATATATATAATAAAACTTACTTTTATGGCTATCTTCTTGATTCTGTTCATGGCAGAAAACTGCTTCAAGCGAGATAGAACAGCAGTATCAAGAGGCTTATCTGGAGCAACACCATCAGCTTGAATCCATGGGTGATCTACATTACATGAGAATATAGAATTGGAAACTCAAAATAAAAAAAATATCCAAAGAAATTGGAGAGTTTAAGTAGTTGATACTCACTCAGAACTTGACTTGCTGTCATCCTCTTTTTGGTGTTTCTTACGAGCATTCCTCTAAGAAGATCTTTTGCACTTTCAGATATACTTGGCCATGGGTCTGATTCAAGGTCAAGTTCACCATTCAACACCTGCTGATATATCCCAGCTTCCATTTCTGTTTCAGACCACTTTTTTAGATTCGGGTCGGGTTATTACTTATTACAGAAACATTAAACGGAACTCACCATCCCAAAAAGGTGGGACCCCACATAGTAGTATATATATGATAACACCAGCGCTCCAGACATCACACCCTTGATCATATTTTTTTCGCAGGACCTCAGGTGCCATATAGTAAGCACTCCCGACTGTATCGGTGAACTTTTCACCTGAATCGATTATACACTAAATATAGATTAAAAATATCTTCTTTAATCGTGTTTATTTTGATCAAAGACTATTTTAGGTTCAAATACCTGGCTTAAAGAAGACGGAAAGCCCAAAATCGATTGATTTAAGTAGCGAATCTTCTTCCTCGCTGAAAAAGAGAAAATTTTCAGGCTTCAAGTCTCTGTGGATAACACCTAAAGAATGGCATGCATCCACAACCCCGACAATGACCCTAGAAAGATCAGCTGCCTTCTTCTCTGTATAATGCCCTCGTTCTACGATCCGATCAAACAGCTCCCCTCCGGCGCAAAGCTCCATGATAAGATAAACCGCAACCGCATCTTCATAAGCGCCGACAATGGAGATCACATTTGGGTGTCCTGCCATGTGGTGCATTATCTGTATTTCCCTTCTAACATCCTCTATCTCCTCTTCCATTACCAACTTCCTCTTGGCGATCGATTTACAAGCGAATTCCTTTCCAGTACTCTTTTCCACGCATAAAAACGTCGTCCCGAATTGACCTTGCCCTAATTCCCTACCCAATGTATAATGCTCCTTCATGTTCCCTGTTTTCCTCTGCAATATGGATCCATGTTGAGATCCGCCACTAGAGACTTCCGGTGATACGTCCGACCCCTTGGCATTGCGACTCTTCCTATTTTTCTTAGTCTTCTGCCGTTTCTTAGGGCCCCCTAAAATCGATTCAAAAAACCCAGTTTTTGCGGGAGCGGCGTTTTTGTTTCCCATTCCAGAATTATACAGATGCCGAATAGCTACCCCGATTCAATATCAATGTGTAGATTTGCATCGGATGTTCTTGTTCAATTAGCAAATTTGATAATTTGGCAATGCCGTTGAGAAGGAAGTTTTGCGTTTCGATCTTACGCAATAAGCCCAATACCGCAGGTGAGTGGTGTAATTTTACTAGACGAATTATCAATCTCAGGCACTTTCGTGGTCCCTGTAAATTCTTATGGATTATGGAACTCTCAAAATTAACGGAGAATGGAATGATAAAAGCCATTGATTAAATTATGTAGAAATTGAAACAGAACAAGTCAGAAACCCAAAAAACTCGCGTCAAATTGGGAACTGAAAGAGAAATGATATGTAGGGAAAGAAAAATAAAATGTAGGAGGAAAACATGGAGAAGATGGTTAAAATTGTGATCGATTTAGAACTTACAACCTGAGTTGACCAGGAGAAATCGATGACACCAAGTCCATATCCGTTTGAGATATGAAGAATGGATAGAGTGATTTGCAGAAACAACCCTTGGACTATTTTTTTAGTTGCAACTTTAACCTCTTTGTTTATTTGTGCTACACGTAGGGGTCATACCTTGGGCCAACAAATCGGGCAATCGTGTCTTGTTTTTGTCTGAATCGATACGACAAGGTTTTATGTAACACCACGACACGATGCCGTGTTTCTTTTAACTAACACGGAAACGAACCAATTATAAAACGACAAACACGACACGACACGACAAAGATAACATAAAATAATAATTAGTTATTTAATTAATACTTAATCATACATAACACGACAAATAAATGTTAAATTGTGTCACTTTCGTGTCGAATTTTGAACACGAACACGACACGACACGACATCATGTTTTTTACACTTGACACAAATTCAAATTTCAGTTCCGTCGAAATTTCGTTTCGTGTCGTGTATTTTTGTCGTGTCGTGTCATAAATTGTCACCCCTAGTCATACCGAGAAGACAATTTTTACAATATCTATTTGTTATTTTCTTTTTTCTAATATCGTAGGTCAACATCGAAAACAGTCATCCTTACTACCACCACCACCACTGGTAGAGAATGTCTACTTCTCACACCATTTTTATGGAATTAGGGTAGGGTTAGTGTATGGGTCATACTCATACGCGCTCGGGTCGAGCAAGATGAGATTCAACCATACAAAAATTTGAAACACCTCAATCAAACTAAAAGTAAGTACTTTTAATTCGACTCATGATCCTATAATTTGACGAACCCGCTCTTATTTTTGGTTTGTTCTTGAACACATCAAATCAATGTTTGTTACTTTCGTTTTGGATTAATAAAAACATCACTATGCAATAGTATTGATGGGAGAAATTATATTGTATCATAACAAACTTTTCACTTTTGGTTTAAAAGGTCTCATGTTTATTTTTGGCTTTGTAGGGCTTAAAGTTTATTTTCTAGGTGCTTATTTGGAGACTAACCCCTAGTAGTAGGTTTTATTGCCACACATGCATAGATAACGTCATTTCATGTCCTACGTGTGCTCCCAGTTAGCGGTTGCTATTCCAAGCTTGCTCCCTAAGTTATGTTGATTGTCTTCAAGTGGTCCCCTTTATCAATGGTGGGGGTTGACTACAAAGAAAAGCTTTCACCCGTCGTGCTACACAGGACCGTTTATTCACGATGATCTCGATGGATGAAACTCAAGGGCTCAACAAGAGGGGCTTTTGGTTTATCGGGTAGAGGATCACATCGTTCGACATTTTACGTATGTGTACGGTTAAGAGCATTTGCCAAAACACAGGTATATAGGGTTTGTACATGGTCTGATAAGCGTGCTAAGGTAGCGAAAGGTTTAGTAGAGATCATGAAAAAGTTAGTTAAACTCGTTAGGCCTTTGGTTGGTGTGAAAGACTTAATCGACTCAAAAAGGTTAGAGTGGATATGGGTTCATTATCCAAGGTATGGTATTCGAGCTCAGTAAAATGGCTTGGCAATTGTAATTAAAATAAAGGTTGATTTAATTATAAGTCAAGGTTGAGTTTTAGTAATTTTCTGACGACTTACGTTAAAGTCTAAGGAGTAGTTTGTAAGTAAGAGATAAGTCTAGTTATTTAGTGATTAAGCATTTTTCTCCTTATAAACGCATTCAAGTATCAAGAAACATACTTTATTTGGAATTATTATCATATTTTTCTTTGTTCTAATTATTCCACAAACAAAAATATACTCAATTCGGCCCAACATCTAGTATTTCATTTGATTTTTATATGCAAATGTGAAGTACTTGAGATTGCAACTCAAGAACCAATGCTACCTTCATCATCATATTGAGTTTTGATGATTTTCCTTTTTAATTTGCATGAACCAAGAGAGACCCCGATGGAATTATGAGGTCAAACATGCGGACCAATCCTCCGCAGACAGTCTCATAAAAATTTACCACTTCATCACCTTCAATGGACAGGGTTTGACACCTTACGTTGAACACACCTGCCTCCCACTTGACCAATCAGTCACGCAGATGACCGGTCTGGTCAATACCCCTAAGGGTTCCTAGAGTTCTAGTTTATTAGTTTAGTGATTGATTATTTCAGGGTCTTTTATCGAGGCAAATTGTTTTGATTTAGAAGGCTCAACAAACAGTTTGTAATCACGTTCGATTGGCGATTTAATAGGGTTACAGTTTAGCAATATGTTGTATTTTGTTTGATGCTTGTAATTTCTCGGTTTTGGTTGTCGTTAGAGTAAAAAGAACTCATCTTGTCTTATGGACATATAATATATATCAATAGCGTAACTAAACACATTTATGTTAGTATTTATTTATATTTGGTCGATTGTTTAAATATTGTTTGTTGGTATCTAGGTTGACTATTATTTCAATCCTATTCGTTTTCCACAATCGTTGTTAGCATGTTCAATCAGAATCAAAAGAAAGAGGTGCCCAGTCAAGAGTGAGTACCAATATTTCCCATAAGACAGCATGATTGGTTAGAACAGTATGCAAAGTCTCTTCAAGTAAAAATGGTAATCTTCGTTCATGCCCTTTATGAGTGATGTAAATCTGGGATCACTTTTGTATATTTATTATGATGTCAACTCACCCTTTAATCTCCCCTCTTTTACATTTCCAAGGATCCAATTGAACAAACACAATCTAATTTCCACATTATATTCATGCATCAAACATTGCAATCTTACAAGCCAGCAATCTCCTACCACTACATATGTATCCACAACACTAAGCAACATGTAAACCACTCCAATTCTCAACAAATCATATGCAAACCCACTTCACCAAGAAATACCATAAGAAGAAAATAATCGGAATTTTTTCTAAGAAAAAAAACTAAAAATCAAAGTGTGATGTAGATGTTCAAACCAGGTTTAAACTCCAAACTAGAGATCAATATTTCAAGAACCGCGTTCTTGAAAGACACCTCCATTGCCCTATCTGAGGTCCTTTGTCTATCACCATTCGCAATCCCACATTGTTCGCTGACATACCAAACATGTATCTGAAAAAAAAAATAAAGAAAAAAATACAAAAACTGTGATTTTGAGCAAATAAAACACTTAAAGATAATGGAAGAACAAGACATGGAATGCAACTTACTTGCTTCGATGTGCTCTCCTCCAAAAAAGAAATGATGCAATCCACTGAGCAAAAGAGATGAAGATGAAAAATGTAAGTAAAAGTTTGACCAAAAGAGCTAAAAACTAAAAAGATGTTTAACCAATTGTAGAAAGATCTAATATTACCTTGAACAGCATGATAAAGGAAAATTTCCTAAATATGGATGGCTTCTTAACAGGCATCCTGCTTGGTGGTGGTGCCATGTCTTTATACAAATGTTGAGCAATTTCTTTCAACAATACCAATTGTGCTTTATCAGTCCTCATGGATATGAGTGCCTGCTTCATGGATTCTCTATCTGCCTCAAGTGAATGAAGCCTTGCATACAACTTCTTAACATCTGTATCCCCAATACCACCATATGATGACTCATTTCTAGAAACATTAAGATCATCATATGTAGCAAGATTAGCCTTCGGATCATAATCAAAAGATGCATCATTACGAATAGTGTCAACAGTATATATCTCGCGTACTGGACTATGCTTAGGACTTCTCTCCAATTCATCAATCCTTTCTTCTATATCAGCTGTTTCATTCTCAACTTCTGTTTCACCATGATGTTCATTCACACTGCATTTTAGAGGAGGGTAATTATACTCAAATTGGTTCTCTAAGTTTGCTTCACTGCCATTAATGAGTGGTAAACCATTGTTGTCCCCTTCTATTTCAGATTCTGTGAGACCCAAACTCAGCATCCTGTGTTTATATGCATGGACCTCACAAGTCAAAGCTTGTATGGTCTGTTCTTTTTCATACAAGTAATCCTCCATTGCCATGAGCTCTTCTTGATCATGAGCCATCTTCTCCTCTGAAAAGCGTTTGAATTGGCGGGCTTCCATTTGGATTTCAGCTTTTTCACTCTGTAACCTCAAGATCATTGACATGGCCTCATTAGCAGCTGAGGAAGCTGCGTTTCTTTCCTCATCCAGTTCATCTGACAAATCTTGAATTGTTTGTTGTTGGTTACTAACCATCTCTCGAAGAGCAGCACATTCATTTCCAATGTCAACACGAGCCACTTGTGGAATTGAAAGACCGGGTATGATGAATTTATTGTCATCTATCTCATCAACTTTTCTTTTAGTAGTGCGTATCCATGGCCCAATATTGTCAAGTTTTGCAGAACAACAATCAGATCCACAATCACACCATTTGACTACAGTCGCCGCAGGCTGCTCAATCTCAGATTCCATATTCAGAGCAGGTGTTCATCAAATCAGCCTAGAAGTAACAAAAAAAAAAAACACCTACCGATCGAAGATTCCTGAACCCGATCGTTTACAGTACACAAAGTTTCACTTCCCCGGCGAATTATCAGTCTACTGAGATAAAAGTAAACGACAACTGGACCCTGTAATTATCACACAACTTGAATCAAAACATAGAGCAATCGCGATCATGATTAAGAATTTAACAGCACGTACGTTTCTAACTACAAATTAAGGTCAACACAATCACAAGCTGTTACTGAAAAGGAAATACCATTACAGTTGCATATAATCCGATAAGTTCTTGATCTAATTGAAGAAGATAATGTTACCTTGAACGATTTTTCACGCGGAAATCAAGGGCCCGTAGGGGGTCGGCACTTGCGCCGATAGCCAGAGACGAAATTTGCTGAAAAGTTTTATGTAGGAGGAAAAAGCGGGAGCGAATTCGTTCGTGAAAATCGTGGAAATGATTGGGGAAAATTGGAAGTTAGATGGTTGAGAGAATACGAAACCCTAGGTTTTTTTAATTTTTTTATTTATTATCAAATATCTTTTGGATATTCGAAAAATAAAAATATTATTTTCGGATATGTAAAGAAGTTGTGGTGGGACTGCATATAGTGATTGATTCTGTGTTCGTGGGTTAGCTGTCGGACAGTCGAAGTCTACAACTAACTTTTTCCTCCTTCAAATGTGTCTAAAATACAATAATTTTATTCATTTTGGAACGTGTATATATGTTGATATATGTGCAAACTTATACTATATAATTAAAGATATAGTTTTGATTATAAAATAATTAAAACGTTTTTACTACATTCTATACCTACTTCAATAAATAATGAGCATAAATAAGTTGATTTTAAAGTATAACAAATGTCAAATTAATCGGAGAAAATGATTAAATCACATAATCTCAAGAAATCCTACATAAAAGCCATTATTTAACTTATGTAAAATCAATATTAGACTGTATAATAGCGATCAAGTTTGCCAAAGTTCTTAAGATAGTTTGGATGGCACTTGAGTTTTCTATTTCAATTTTAACATGGAGTTATTTGAAAAACAGAAGTAAAGAAAAGAAAGGAGGAGCACAAAGAAAGCAAAGTGCAACATAACACTGCAGCTTTTTGTAACTCAACGGTTGGATGCTCGTGCAGGGGAGTGTAGAGTACGGAACTCAGGAGACGTATGATACATACTCATCACTTTCATAGCTCTTATTTGAAAGGATTATGTATTTATGTTTTATCATGTTAATACATACAAGCATGTATATAGAATAACCAATTAACCACAATGTTTTGTGGTATGACCTACTGCCCTACATATAATAATATTAAATTTCAACCACGTTTAATTTGAATCGGTAACTATAAATAGTTTATTTTCATCTGCAAAGTGTAGAAAAGTACAATCATTTATCTACCCGTATTTAGAAAAACTCTTATATTTTATTTATATGCAGAAAAACCTTACATTTTTAAATACCTTTTAGATTTAGCCAAATATCTTGTTCGTTTTTAAGTCGACATAAAAAAAAAGTGATGTCACTTACTTTTGTTTGAGTAAATAGTCGTTAAGTAATAATATATTGCTCACGTTTTACCTTAAACAAGAGGTAGCGTCATTTGAACCTAAAAACGAAAAAGATAAATGTCATATCACAAAACAACCGGTAATTTTATTAAAAATCAGATATTCAAGTTAATGTAAAAGCTAACTAAAAATGTAAGGTTCTTGCTACATATAAACAAAATGTAAGAGTTTTTCGAGAATGTTGGTAGATAAATAGTTATGTTTTTCTGTATATTGCCCTTATTTATACCAATTATTTTTAAAGAAAATGACAAATTTAACTTAATTTTATAATAATTTATCAAAAAATTAAGAAATGAATCAAATAGCCACTAAAATCGCAAGTGACATTTAATGGGTGTGCAATTTCGCTTTATGGGTTGTAATTTCAACATGCGCACACAATACTTAAGGTTTTAAGAAAAAAAAACCTTACGCATTAGACACTCATACAATCTCATTTCGATTAGATTGAGGAAATCGCATATGGGGTCGCATAGTAAATCGTAAAAGGCCAAATGATATTTGTGATTTCATCATACCAAAATGGCAAAATTCGATTTTTTTTATATATATATACTTTCGATGAAATCGTAATTCATAAGTCTAACTCCAAATGACAAAATCGAATACCATGAGGATTTCAATGGCTATATGAGTCATTTCTTAATGTTTTGGTTATTTTCTTGGAATAAGATTAAAGGATTATGCTAAATTTGTGTTTTTCTATTATTTTTAATATTATTGTTCTAATCTCTACGCAAAAGTGGTGGCTGATCATAAAGTACACAGCCCCAAGGCCAACTGAGTTTTCTTTGTTACAAATTACATGTCATGTGTTGTAAAGTATACTTGTAATAACCTATAAACAAGGGTCCACATTACAAGCAAATATGAGGTGGAATAAGCTTTCCTGGATTCATAATGCCATTAGGATCCAAAGCAGCCTTTATCTTTTTCATCGTCCTCAAATTCTCTGTTCCAAGTTCTTTCTCAAGATACTGCAAACAAATACAACCCATGAATGAAGAAGGGCATTTTAGACCATTTAACTAACTAACAATCTTATTAAACTACTTGTTAGAGTCAATTCATATATATATATATATATATATATATATATATATATATATATATATATATATATATATATATACCTTCATTTTCCCAGTACCCACGCCATGTTCTCCAGTACATGTACCTGAGAGGGTTACAATTTCACATGTAAATGTAATTAAACAAACTAATAGAAAATAATTAAAAATTAGTACCTTCCATTGATAAAGCAGCATGAACCATAAAATTATTCAATCTTTCAGCCTCCTTACGTTGTTCATCGTCTGCTGGATCAAATAAAATCACTGTGTGAAAGTTACCATCTCCAGCATGAGCAATCACCGTGCTGTTAACAAATGTGTACAGTAAAAACTATAAATATTTCAATGAATTCCTTTCTGAAACCTAAAAAAAGTAAAACACAGATACATTTATGGACCAAAGATGTCATGTCACATTATCACATACCACAGCAGTGATGAAGCATCTAGAACTTCTTTAGATTTAGAAATTATTTCAGCAAGATGTGATAAGGGAACACATACATCCTGAAAATTATAAAATATCAAAAAGAAGATAGATACGCTTTGACTTTTCTGGTCAACCATCATACATTTTAAATTCAAAAGAAACAAGGTACAGAGATTAACTGTTGTCATTGCTTCAAAACCAGGTGCCATTGCAAAGCAGGCATACAGAGCTTCTTTCCTTATCTAGAAAAAAAAAATCCAATTAAGATACTAAAAGGTAAAAAATCATCAAGAAGATTAAAGAGGTAAACTAACCTTCCAAAGTTCCTTTTTAGCTTGTGGGTCTTCTGCAAAAACAAAGTCGGACCCACGATGCTCCGATACAATCTTTTGAACTATAAGTGTCTGTTCACGTGTATATGCTTCTGTAAAACAGTAAATTAGCAACCTTGTTAAAAGAAATTTATCCATTTTAAGATTTTTTTTTTAAATACCTGTGCCGATAAATTCAAACATCAAAGTTGGAAATTCAGGTAAGTCTTTTCCATTAGCAAGATTAACAGCCTTCACTTGAACCTCATCTAACAGCTCCACCCTTGACACCTGGCAAAAACAGGACCAAAGTAAAGCAAAATATTTATATATTATTAACTTAATCAGAGCTGAAAACTAATGGAAAAAGCATACTTGTATGCCAGATAACATAGCTGCTATTGCCACATCAGCTGCATCTTTGACTGTAGGAAAATTGCACATTGCCACCTGCAACCAATTCATTATCATATAATGGCAATGGCAATAAATATAAACATAAAGGGAGTTTTAAGTAATTTCAGTAGAATGAACTTACAATTGAATGTTCTGGAATTTTTTGTAGACGCAATGTAACTTCTGTTATCACACCCAACGTGCCTTCACTTCCAATCATCAGCCGTGTAAGATCATATCTGCATAATTTTTATCATATAAAAACCCACACTAATAATCTTTTCTTCATACCCACAATATATATATATATATATATATATATATATATATATATATATATATATATATATATAATGGGCTGTTTGTTATATATAAAATAAATGAATTATGACAGTTTTAAAACTCACCCAGCAGCACTTTTTCGAGCACGAGATGCTGTTTTAACAACTTCTCCATCAGCTAAGACAGCCTTTAGATTGATGACATTGTCACGCATGGTTCCATATCTACATGTATAGATTCAAATACACAAAATTAAAACCATAAATTACCATATTGATATTAACAACAACAACGAAAATTCCCAATAGAGCTAAAAGTAAAGAGGAGGAAAGGTAATTAGATGAATACTATAGGGTTGAACAAATAGTGAAAAAAGATACTAGCAATACAAGCTTAATATAAATTAAATGCAACAGTTTCCTTCTTACGGTGTCTTATAATAAATATACAAGACAAAGTGTCTACCTAACAGCTAAAGAACCAGAACAACGTGTCCCACACATCCCTCCAATGGTTGCTCCAGGTCCTACCCAATACAAATGTATACACCTTAATCACCAAATACAGATAAAGGTGAAACAAGAATGATGGAATGTATCTGAACAAATTTTCATATATATAAATTTAGGGAGATAAATATACACTGTTGTTGAACTAAATTTGAACATAAATGACAAGAAACACCATTTCAATATGCATGATTGCAACGTATGAAGTGTAGAAACTCACCAGGGTCAAGAGGGAAGAATAGACCATAAGGTGCTAAGTATTCATTAAGCTCCATCCATCCAATCCCAGGTTCAACAACAACATCCATGTCTTCAACATGTAATGCTTTAACATTCTGTAAGTCAACATGTTAAAAAATCAACCAACAATGTCACAAGGTTGTTCATGGTTTCAACAAGAAAGAGTATTTCATACTTTCATTAAGGTCATGTCAATGCAGACACCTCCATTAGGAGATAAAGTGTGACCCTCGATTGATGTAGCTCCACCATAAGGTACAATAGGGACCTGAATATGGAACATGAAAGTGCTTAATAGGGTGCAAATCAAAATATCTTTTGATACATTTTTATACAACTAGCTCTAAATTTCGTGCCAATGATCAAACCTTATGTTTGTTACAAGATCGGACAATCTTAGACACTTCATCTTCAGACCTTGGAAACACAACAACATCCGGGATATTGACTGCCTTGTGAAAGCTGTATTGTGGTTTCCCATGGAAATATCTTTCGTCATAATCCAATGTCATGTTATCCTGTTAAACGAGTACAAAACACCCCTTGTTGGTGTAAATTTTGTAACAAGATAGTTCACAAACTCTATTGAATAACACTGCTAAATAAATAGTTGGTGATAGTTTTGTAACAAAATCCATAGAAAGTAATTAGGGTTTCAATAAACAAACTTATAATGCAGGAAGAAATTTGAAACATTATTAATGGACGATATGATAGAGTACTTGACATATGGCCTTGAGTTCAGTGATGAGCTCGGGTGGGACTGGCTTATACGAGCCCTTCACAACACGCTCCGTGCTATCTTTGACCCCAATACGCCCACTTCTGGAATTGAAAGGCTCAAAAAATCCATTTCAGTTGAACCAATACAACCAAGCCCCAAGTCAGAAATCATCGAAATGAAGATGATGAAAAACGGAAATACCTTTCCTGGAGATTAGGGGAATCGCATAGTGATGGGTTTTTCTGTAACTGGAGTGCAAGTGAGCCGCCGGAGACGGCGAGAACAATCGGAAGCAAAGAAGTCCTCCATGATTGTTTGTTGCTGTTGTTCGAGTTGACTATGATGGTGTTCTCTAGAATGTGTGATTGAGATTGAAATTGAGATCGAGCAGTGTGATTGGACTGAACGAAGGAGTTTTGAAAGAATTTGCTGGGTTTACAAGACGATCGGGCACGAGAGAGCCAAGTGAAGAAAGCCATTGCCTTTTCGAGATGACTGCATCTTTGGGATAAACCGATAAAGTAAATCACTTTACCCATGATGAGATTTAACATGGAAAATTGAAATTGACCAACTTCAATGATTGAATAGACTATTGCACATGGAAATCGAAATCAACAATTTACCACCATATCCCATTTTTTTCTCCCTCTTCCCTCATCCCTCTTCACCATGTATTATGGTGAACTATATCTCATTGACTCACTCCTTGTGGTAATTTATGTTCGATAAAGTTAAAGTCGATCAATCTTGAGTCTTGACATGCATACAAATATGAATTCATTCAATGATTTGGGTTTGAGAATCTCCATGTCTAATCTAATCTAATCTAATTCTAATTCTATTCTAATCCGCCCTGATAAATGAAAATAATTTTGTCACGTGTCACTTTCTCATTAACTTGGACACATATCATTTTTTTAGTATTTTTGAATAAATGTTTTTTCCATTTGTCATTTTCTCATTTTTTTATTTTTTCTTAATTAACACATCATATTTACACCTCAATTATTTTAATTGAAAATAACCAATAAATTACAAATTTAAATAAATTTTTGTTTCAACTTTTATATTTGATTTTTTGTTTTATCAAACCCGTATAACATACGTGTCTTACACCTAGTAAAACTAATAAAAGAATAGTTTTATTCTCCTTTTGACATGTGTCATCTTATTAGACCCAGGGGCGGACGCATGATTTCACAGTAGGGGTTGCACGATAGTAGAAAAAATAAAAATTTTAAAAGATTTCGAAAAAATTTCCACTGCCTCAGAAAAGTTAGAGGTTGTCGGTGTCACCGGTGACCCGGCCTAAATCCGCCCCTGATTAGACCTCTTAATTAATGCATATTTTATTCTTCTTTTGTCATGTGTCACCTTATTATGTCTCCTAATTAATACTTATCATTTGTCAAACTATTGATTATTCATTTTTATATTTTAAATTTTAAATTTTCTCACTCTATCTACATTAAATTAATAGCATTAAATTAAAAATTAAAATAAAATTAATACAAATTATAAAATGATATAATTTCACATATTAATTTAAATCAATGATTATAATTTTATATAACTAAAAACATCTCTTAATTAATAATTTATTTAAAATAATTGATTAATAACTTTGAATTTTTAGTATAAAAGTTTAATTAATTTTGTAACCGTGGTTCCTACGGGTTATAAACTAGTCAAGATTATATATAAATGCTCAATTGAATCTTATAATCGAGCTTTCCAAACTTTATGTATGTATTTAGATTCAGATTATATATCAAATCGATCTAAAATCAAGATTGTTTTATTTAGTATATTTCTAATATACATTCAATTGGTTGTGCTTTATTGATCATAATATTGATGTACATATTTGAGCTATGCAAGCACCAAACTCGCTTTCGAGTTTAGCTCCCATGTTTCAAAGGGGTTGATCGAGCCATCAAATTGAATGTGGGCTTAAATTAACATTGTCGAGTCGACCTCATCTCATTTAGTCGTGGAGATTGATTACTTATGACGAGATTCAAGGGTATCACACATCATAATTGTGTTGTTGAATAATATAAGCACCAAACAAGGAGTGATGATATGTTATAGTCTTACATCTTTTAGATGCCATTTCATTTTGTCTCTGTCTAATTTTCTTATATAGAAGCTTAATGTAATTGTAAACATCATCCCGAGATCAATAATAGATCTCTCTAGTTTATTCATGGAGGTACAATGTTTACCTTAACTGTATGAACTATATAGATTTTTTTTTCTTCTTTATTTTTGTTTTTGTATCTTTTAATTGTATGGTTTTCATCTCATCTGAATATCTAACAAATGATATTAGAGTCAAGGTTGTCAAGATCGAGATCCTACGTATGATCGTTTTTAGGTTTGCAAGATCGGGATCGGGATCCTAAGATCCCACAAAATAAAACATAATTTTAATTTATAATTTTAAAACATGAAAATTATTTCAAACATTTAATTTTTCGTTAAAAGTTGTAAAAGACATAAAGTGGTAAAAAAAATATCATTTGCAAAAAAAAAGAAGGTAGGATCAGATCGAATCGCGATCCTACCCCAAATACAATCCGTTTGCGATCCAGTTCGTTTTTCATACATAGGATCGTATGATCCTACAATTAGTATCGCGATCGAATCGCTTAATAGCAACCCAACCCCAGTTCGTTAACATCCTCCAATGACTCTAAACCCTTGCATGGGTGAAAAGCAACCATCAAGATCATATTTTTATGACTTAAAATCCTCAGAAATGACAATATATGACAATCATAAGCTCTGGAGTAGCTTTTACTCACAAGAACCAAAACCATGGGCCCAAAAGCATGCAAAACTCTAAGCTAACCTAGATCTAAACCAATGAATCATAAAGGTAAGAACTTTATACACCAAGAACACAACAAAAGGCTCAAACAAGCTCACAAGGGCTTAGGGTTTCGAAATGCCTATTTGGGGATAGTGGAGGCTGAACATGAAAAAGACCTCAAGGGACTTAAGTTGTTTAAATAGGGTCTCAACCCTAAAAAAATTAGGGTTTAGCAATAGCACATCTACGCCCTGCGTAGATGGTGTTACACACTGCGTAGAGCATGCAATCCTCGCATGTGTTTAATGAGCTACGCCCCGCTATGCCTAGTGTAAGGACCAATTTTGCAAGAAATTTATGCTTTAAGCTATAAAAGAAAAGTACCTAGGAAACGGATGTTACATACTTGAGGACGCATTGTCATTTGCTTAATATTGATAAATTATTTTGTGCTCGTCTTCTAAAATCATATTATGTAAAATGATACAAGCATACATAATACGAGCGAGCTTTTCCACTGCTCGAGGACGTGTCAGATGTTGTAGTATGCGTCAACGCTTCTTGAGGACTCCAAACGCTCATTTGACATCCTTCATAGCCTTGTCTTGGAATGTTTTATACTTTATGCGTTTTGGATCACCTGGACATTTTAGCATTTTCACAAACACAACAAATTCAGGGTATATACCATCAGCAAGATAATACCCATAACTGTACGTCGTTCCATGTACTTGAAATGGACAGTTAGGTGCAGACCCATCACAAAACCCATTGAATATGGGAAACATGTCTAAAACATTAATATCGTTGTTTGAACCGGGAGCACAAAAAAATGCATGTCAAATCCAAAGATCTTGTGACGCAAACAACTTCAAGTATGACTGTGGGGTGACCTTTATCACCCTGTGTAAATTGTCATTGTCATGCGTTAGGACAACTACCCCATGCCCAATGAAGACAATCCAAACTTCCAAGCATACTAGGAAAACCATGAACACTAGCATGATGAACATATAATAGTTGAACATCAGTAAAAGTGGGTTTACACAAATACCTTGGATCGTAAATAGTGACAACGCTTCTGCAAAACTCATCCAAACTATCCCGAACTATCCGCTCAGACATTTGAAAATATTTGTCCCATGCATCGGAAACGGAACCGTAAGCTAGTTGACGAACCGCAACTATGCATTTCTGTATTTTCGAAAAAATCATTTGCATCTCTTGCATCTCGACGTTGTCTCATATATTCAGAAATGTTAGTAACGTCACCAACTATACAGATAAATAAATGTTTCGTCATTCGAAATCGACGTCGGAATAAGTGTTCCCCGTAAACAGAATTTTAATTGAAATAGTATGCCATTAGACGGGTGTTTGCATCCCAACTATCTCTGAGAAGCATCTTCCGCTTCATAACCACTTATCATAATGTCACAAGAGCCTGACTAACGGTTAGCAACAACTTGCAAGTTTGTAATGAATTTGCCTTTTTTTAAAGGATTTTCTAAAAAATATATGAAAGAAACATAAAGATGGATATAGATTTGTAATAGTGAATAGGTTTTGATTTGTAGGTTTATATTTATAGTGGTAAATGAAATATGAAAAGAAAAATAAATAAATAATCAAATAAATCGGCAACTTCAACGGTCATCTATCCTCGAACGTTCGAAAATTTGATCCTCAAGCGTTTGAAAATTTGAAATTTTACAATCGGTGCAAACATACCAGTGGTACTTTATCCCTGGTGAAAAGATGGGAGAGGCGCAGTATTCACAGCCGGTAAAGTAGTCCGTCGCAAGCCATTGTTATTTAGCAATGTATTCAAGACACTAATTTCCGTCGCAATAGTAGTTTGTAGCATTGTATCATCTAGACTCTAGAGGCCTGTGAGTTCACAATGAACGTTAATATTAGAATAGAGACGAAGAGATCCCATACTTAACGGGTCATGGTGATGGGCTGATGGCCACAATCATAGACTAAGAACCATTGGACCCCTACGAATATGTCTTAATACCCCCTATGTGCTGCAATGGACTAATAAATATGGGCACATATCTTGGTTTAAAAAAATTTGTATTTCGAATATGAGAGCTTGTTCAATTCTCAAGGATTTATGTTGGTTTTATTTTGATCATATGTTTCGTAAGCTGTAATGCCCTACGGGCTTGTCCATATTTGTTTTGGTTGGGACTTGGAAGTCTCACTCTTGAATTGTACTATTTTTCTAATTAATAAAATAAACCCTTCCCTTTAATAAAAATAACAATATATATATTAGAGAAAAGAAAAAAAGAGCTAAAACCAAACATTTGTGGATTGTGTTACCACCAAAACACAAAATAAAATTACTATAATTAAAAATAAATAAAATAAAAACTAATGGTTTTTGGATCCTCCGCCCTTCTTTCCATCGTCACCCCATATAAACCTCTGCATTCTTCTCATATCGTTTCTTCACCACCATTTCCCTTTAAAATGCTAAATTTTCAATTCCCTTATCATGGTTTTCCCTATTTTTCAATTCTTTAAACCCCAACAATTCCCATTTTTGTAGGTTTAGACCCCCGAATCGAAAAGAATTTTGGACAAAAAAAAAATGGCTAACGATGCTTTGAGGACAGGGTTCATGACCGTTTTTGTTGTATCCGGAAGCGTTGTGCTTCTTGCTCACCAATTTCATAAACACCTTCTTTCCGACTTTATGAAAAAGATGGAATTCGAATTGGGTATTTCACCTTGTGGACGTTTTCTTCTCTCTTTTCCCCCCTTTTTCCAATTATATACATGTTTTGGGACTTATGTACATGAAACGTTTGATGGTAGATGTTAAAAAAGAAGCAAAATTAAAAGGATAATTAATCATTTGTATGATTTAAACATATTATTTAAAGGGTTTATATTGTTTCTGGATGCATGTTAGGTCCCACCAAGAGCCAAACAAAGAAGAAGGTGAGATTCTCCAATGAAGCATCAAAGGTTTTATCAGCCAATTATAAAGAAAGCCAGTGGTCGAAGGTGGCAATGGTTGACATGGAGGACTTCTGCGGGGATAAAAAGAAATGCAGGAAGACTATGCCTCTTAATTGGCAGGTTATGTATAAAGGGATCATAGACTACAGGAATTCAATATATATCCAATAAATTTTTTTCTCGTATCGGTGGTTGTCTTCATTGTGGTTGATGGTGGTGGGAATGATAGGGAAAATTGTGTTGTTTTCTTTTGTCTAATTATTTTTTCAATCTTAATTTATGTAAAACATTCACTTGCTACCATTTTGGCACAAGTATTGAAAGCTAAAAGAATTTTATTGTTCTTTGAAACAAATATATATATATATATATATATATATATATATATATATATATATATATATATATATATATTCGACAAATAATGTGTATTAATAGTGAAGATAACATGTATTAAGCTATAAATAGTAAAACTTTAAAAGACACCAAAATATGTACTCCTAACTTCACAAAACCTTGAACGTGGATATAATGATCCAATAATTTTTTGTTAGCAATGTGCACATATGGATAAAGACTTAACAAACGGTATTGGATTCTGTCTACATATCATCAAAAGCTATGATTTTTTTTTAATCATTGGACTTTATGAATGAGCAAAAAACCTTGTACTAGACAAACCATCGTAGTTTTATTTTATGTTGTATAATTGACAAAGTTATCTTATGTTTATGTGTAAATTTCATTTTTTTTTGGTCCCTGTCATACATGATTTTTAGTAATCAACGAGTAATTAACCATACTCCATATATTTTTCATGATTTTGAGTATTCAACACGCTTGGTTATTAATTCTTTGGTTTGGTTTTGTTGAGTGTTTAGTTGATAGTATTAAAAATAAAATAACTATTATACCCTTATGTATTTTTATTTTAATTTTCTATTATTTGTTGAATGTTTTTTTTTTATTATTTTATTTTATTTATTTTAAATTCGTCTGATATACACCCACCCCAAGCTAAACTAGACCAGATACTATCTCTATCTTCTCTGATATGCTAAACCCTAAATTACCAAACACCAACTAAGGTCACCACCCTCCTTAACCGGATCGCTACCATCGTCAATACACACCTCCCATCCACCACCGTTCGTTTTCTACACCATCTGTCATCGTACCATTGCAACACCATTGACCATGGCTTTATTTATGCATGATTTTTGCTCGAAGGAGGATGAATCTTGAAGCATACTGACGGCATTCGTTGGAGAGGCGGAGGGGAATCAGGCTCTCGAACCATTTGCGATTACATACTTGTACATTCACATATGGGTATGCCATTTGCAATTTCTTCTCTTCCAAATTACAAATTTTCATGCATAACTTACAAGTTTTAAAAACATAAACTACAAGGTTTTATAAAAACGATAATTTTTGAACCCATAACTAAAAAAATACAAACAAAAGAACTAAAGATTATATAACATACATCATTATTAGATAGAAACTTTTCTTAGCAATCGGAGAGAATTCCTAAAGTTTTAAAGTATGAAAATGAGGCTAAGTTTTTCTATTATGGTTTAAATCCTTTGGGTTATGGACTACAATTCTACAAAATAGCAGATGGGCCGTAAATCGGAACCCAGTAAGTGAAATCGCAGGCCACGTGAACCAACTTGCGATTTCTTTGACTACTTATCTTTTTAATATTATTTCTTAACAAATGATTAAAGGATTAGGTTATATTTGTCATTTACTCAATTATGTAGTATTACATTTGGTTAGTAAGTGTGTTCAAAGTTGGGTTTAAAACTACATTTCATCTCTTAAAAAGAAGATCACCAAATACCAATTTCTCTCCCCGATTCCCATTGATTTACCATCTCGATGATTAACAGCAAAAGAACGACAATATCAAATTAAAGAAGAGAGACGATTTGTCATCGTGTGAGGTTACGTTGGGTGGTTAACGTAATCAACCATTTTGTGTTAATTGTAAGTGCATTATCATTTTGTTTTTATTTTAAAATATTTAAAAATAAACTCAAAAACGACAATTTATTTTTCCATCAAAAAGATATATATCGGTTACGTTACACGTACCACTTAACCCAAATGAACACATAGAGACACACACGGTGGCCCTATTTTCTTCTCTCATCCGACCTCACCCTTCATATCTTCTTAATTATATAAGTGTTTATAGAAAAAGAAACTGATCTATCTGAGAGAGAGAGAGGGAGAGAGAGAGAGAGGAGTTGATAAAAACTCGCAGTGGCTTCCGGCGAATACGCTGATAAATAATATAGTTTTCCGACGATTTCGGAAATCAGATTTGTATCAGCCTTCTATATTTTTCTATAATTACTTATACCATCTAAACGTTTCCTCGATCCAATTGGTTCTTCGTCGTGATTTTGCCCTATCATTTTTATACCCACGACGAAGATCCCATATGGCCGGGAAATCTCCCCAACCCACCCATTCCGACGTCGTATAACCCGTTCGTGGGACGGTGTTTGATTCTACACGAAACTGGGACTTGGGAGGTGTGGATTTTGTCCTTCAATTGATCGGTGGGTCTTGATTAATGGTCACGAAAAAACAACAGATCGCCTTCCACCGATCTCCAATGGAACGCCGGCAGTTTTTGTTAGATCCAGAGGAGTGTTCATCCCGAGGTAGTCACCACCGGTTAGCCGAGGTCGCCGGAGGAACCACAGCTGAATGTGCAGCGGTGGTCTGCTGCTTCCCCTGCACCGTCGTTAACTTTTTGGTGTTGGCCGTGTACAAGGTTCCGGCGGGTTTGTGCCGGAAGGCTTTAAGAAAGAAGCGGCGCCGCCGGCTCAAGAAGAAAGGGGTATTGATCCAAACTACGCATGGCGTTGACGGGATCAGCATCGATGGGACGGAGTTCTCCCTCCATACGGCGGCGGCCGATCGGTTAGTTGTGAAATCGATGGACTCTGACGAAGATTTAATCGAGTTAGAAAATGAGATGTGGGAGACGTTCTACGGAACCGGGTTTTGGAGAAGTCTCTCTCAAAGGATCGATTGAAAATGATCCGGTCAGTCTCGTAGACCACAAACCTAAACCGCCTTGCAATTCATGCTTGTACTGTACAAGTCTGCACTCCCAATACAAACTAATAGAGCGTAAAATCCAGCTTTGTTATAAGTACATATTTACCCTCCCTATCCCATGCAAGATTCTTTCGATTTGTAGGAGTGAAAATAGGCAAAATCCAGAATTTGGGTTTGTTTTGGTTTAAAGAGAAAAAAAAAAGTTTTTTTTTTTTCTTTTTCAATTTTGAGTATATATATTCATTTGAACTTTTATGTTAAATCTTATATGAAAATGATTTGATGTTTTCGATCCACATTGTTCATCTTCTATATAAATTTGAAATTTAGGCTTACTTCTCATATGTAACTAAATAACTACATACGGATTCTATGTTTTACTAACAATATACATTTAATGTGTATATAAATCAGGCCAAACGATTATTTGGCTGTGATAATACCAAATTATTTGTTCGTGACATTGACATAATGGACTATGTCTCTTCTTTACAACCACGTGATGCCTTAACGCATATCTCTTCATAAATTCAAGTTTGAGTCTTGAATGAAACTTTTTAGTTTTTGTATATGAGCCATGTCGCTATCCACACAAAAAAAATAAAGATTTTTCTTTTTGTAAATAAGTTGTGTCACAAGTGTGTCACTGTCCCGAAAAAGACCTTAACAAAATTCAGCTGTTAAAAAAAGAAACCGAAGTATTGATGCAATAAATGTTTTTATAGTTATTTTTGTTTAATGTTTTAATGAATTTCTTTTATTCTATTGAGTAAAAGTTAACAATAGAGTTGTTAGTTTCTGAAGGGTCGAATGTAACTTATAAACGCCAATTTTACCAATGCAACAACATCGAGATTACAATGCACTTATCTAATTAACAAAATATTACCGTCCTTAATTCATCAATAATCGCATCTCTTTACGGTGGTTTTGTAAAATAGAAATTAAATATCCTCCTATTTTTGTTCGTACAAATTCTCCTACCCAATTAAATGATGACATGTATCATATTAGTATATTAAAATATCATTAAATAAGTATTAAATGTTACACATATCACTATTTAATTGGGTAGGAAGATTTGTAGGAACAAAAAATAGGAGGATATTTAGGGTGCGTTTGGTTGTAGAAAACTGTTTTTATTTTCTATGAAAATGTTTTCAGAAAATAGGGTTGAGTTTTCATTTTCAATTTTCAATGAAAATGCGTTTGGTTGGAACGGATGGAGTTTTCATTTTCCATCTTAGAAATTTGGAAAACTGTAAAAATCACTTTTCTAATTTACATACAATTTGGAAAACTGAAAATTTTCATTTTCTTAAAAAACTTTGGAAAACTGAACGAACCAAACGCGTTTTCAAAATTTCCATTTTTCTTGGAAAAAATTTCCTAGAAAACTGGAAAATTTTCCACAACCAAACGCACCCTTAATTTCTCTAAAAAAATTGTATTCTTTGTTTTGATTCTATATGGCGACAATATCATAGGTGTACAAACTATATTTTTTCCGGGATCCGAATCAATTTTGAAGTCAGATCAGATTTGATCAACAAAGTCCAAACTAAATTGAACCCAAACCGGATAAGATCTTAATCGAATTTAAAGAAAAACCTAAACCCATAGGAACCGGTGAAAATAAAATCAAAACCAGATTGTATGAAACGAGTTTCAAAACCAATTTGAAGAAACATATATTTTATTATATTTTTTGACTTTTAGAATTAAAAAAAAATACAATACATATTTAAGTCTAAAAACATAAAACAAAGCATATCTAATCGGAAATAGACATCATTGTCGTTATGGTAGTAGTGGTGGTCGTTTATTAATCGTTTGTCGTTTAGGGTTTAGTCATTGTCAATGGTGTAGCGTAATTATTCTTCGTAAGCGAGCTCTTCCATGGTAAGTGAGACCAACATTTTCATAGCTATTTCTTGCTATTGTATTTTTTGTTTCGCCTTCGCAATTTCATCTTCAAGTGGTGAAATATTTTATATATGTTCTACAACATCGTAGTCTTTCAAGCAAATGCATGCTTCCATTTATATGGGATGAGTTTTGTTTTTCTTGGAAATATTATTACCCTACCTATAACAATAAAAAAAAATGGTTCTCAAAACTCCACAAAAATTTAAACAATTAGTAAATCAATGTGTAGTGGCTAGAATCGAAAATAGGAATTCATTTTATTTCCACCAAAGTATGCAAATTTTCTAACTTTATCTATTTATTTTGAGATGTATTAATTTTCCCCGACAATAGCTTATCTTGTCACATCTCATATATATGGATGATGTGATGTTTATTGATAGATCATTGTTGGTCAATATGTTGAATCTTAATAGTTTGCATATGTGCTTTTATTTAGCATCTGATCTTAAAGCGAACCTTCACGAAAGTAAGGTTTATAACATTGTAGTGGTGGATAATATGGAGATTTCTAATCTTTCAAATGTGAGTACGTTTCTATTCTGAGTAAACCACTTTTAATTTCTGGAAATTTGAAGCTTAAATATGTTTGACCCTCAAAAAGGGATACAGATGATCGTTGAACCCATCACTTTACAACTGTCATTCTCATTTTTTTTCAATCTTAAAAATTGTAGTTTTCCACATCCCACAAAAATATGCACATTTTTTACATTTTAAGGTCGAGTAGGTTAATTTCAACTTTGATTTTCTTTTGAAACGTGTAACACGCGATTCAGGTATTGGCTGGAAAGTTGACAATTTGGAAAGGTTCATGCATGGACTCGGCGAGTTGGAGGACCAACTCGTCGAGTAGAGTCGGGTATCTGGAGCGCGGGACGGAGGTGACTCGGCGAGTCGGAAGGGTCGACTCGGCGAGTCCGAGCTGTTTAAAGAAAACCCTAATTTTGGGGTTTGCCCCCTATATAAACATCATTATCCGCCCCAGTAGCCTCCCTTAGCACCTTAGAAGAGCGTTTACGGTCGCACACCCTCTTGTGAGTGAAGTAAGATCAATTGGGAGCTTAACCTTGAGATTTTGGGGAGGATTCCAAGCTTGAAGAAGAAGTATCAAGGGAAAACACTAGATCTAGCATCTAGTTCGTCTTGGGCATTGATTTGAGGTATGAATCTGTTACCTTAAGCATAAATTCTATTTGAGAATTGTGACCAACTTTGAGGAAATGGAAGCAAGCCTAGATCTGGACCTATCACAAGGATATGGTTCCAGATATGGACCTTCATAGGTCCCAATTATCATAAAGTTGCACCTTTTAGTAAGCTCATTCCCTCCCCATGCATGGAAACCTTGTTGAAGGTTAGTTTTGGTGATTATGGCCATGAGAGGCCTTGCATGCACGTAAAGTTTGCAACTTTACATGTATTCCACTATAGTAGAGTATAGATCTGAAGTTTGGGACCTTGAGTCCCACTGGAAGAGGCCGTAAACACAATGGACTAATAGGGACTCGACGAGTCGTGCAAAAGACTCGGCGAGTCGAAGGGTTCATGGTCAGGGGTGTACGGTTGGTGGTTTATGACCGTAAACAGCAAGGAACTCGAACGAGTCCCTCGGGTGACTCGGTGAGTCGATGAGTTAAGCAGGGAACCCGACGAGTGAACGATTGTACTCGACGAGTCAAGGTCAATATGGACTGTTGACCTTGACTATAGACTTTGACTTTGACCAGGGTTGACCCTGGGGGTATTTATTGGATTATGCTGAGTTAATTACTCATTGATTATAGGCAGTTGGGAAGAGCAGCATAAGACACACCTGAATTCAGTTGCCAATTCAGCCTTGTGAGGTGAGTTTTCTCACCATACCAATGGGTCTAGGGCACCAAGGCCGACCCATCTTGTGATAGTTTGTTTACTTGTTATGTAGAGGTGTGATATGTATGTGTGCATGACATGTGGTAGAAATAGTCTTTGTGGCTAACGGTAGAGATGGCCTTATGGCAAATGGTAGAGATAGCCTTAGGGCTAATGGTAGAGACAGTCTTTATGGTTGATGGTAGAGATAGCCTTTGTGGCTAACGGTAGAGATAGCTTCATGGCTAATTGACATGTGATATGTGGTAGAGGTAGCTTTATAGCTAATGTGAAATGTGGTTTGTGTGGGGTATGCTATGGGGGACTCACTAAGCTTTTAGCTTACCGTTTGTGGATTTTTTTCAGGTACCTCGGAGTCCAAGGGCAAAGGCAAGGCGTGATGATGCGGCGTGCACTCTATCTCTCTTTTCCGATATAGTTTGGGGGACACTCTGATGTTTTGAAAAATAATAATGATGTAATGTTGGTGATTTTGAAAAACAATTATTGGGATCATCATGTTTTATGAAATATGGTCGATTAATTAAAAATGAAAAAAATTTCTTTGTAAAAGGTGGGTCGTTACAAAAAGAGATTACACACTATGAGATTTTTATGACATGTGTGTGGCCTACTAATTTCAAAAAAAAAGCATTGTACTTAACTTGATTTTCTCCTCCAACTTTCTACATTGGTAACTGAGCTTTCTCCTAGCTAATAAAATTTATTTCTATATGTAAAAAAGGAGGTATGCAATTTGCACTGTCTTATTTATCAAAAATTTTGGAAGGTATTCAAAGAAAATGTATTTTTAGGGGGGTTGTATATAACAAGAAAATTAGTTGGATTGCATGGCATATTTTTACTCTAGCTAAAAAACAATGGGGGACCTTCGTGTTGTGAGCTTGAGAACTTTGTATCTTTATCTCTCTACAAAATAGTGGTGGAGGTTAAAGGTTTGAGCGGGTACACTCTCGTATAAAGTGTAACAAAGTTTTGCATAAACTGTCTTGTTGATGATAAGTCCATTTGAAAAAAAATCTAACAAAAAAATGTATCACCCGTAAATTCAGGCTAGTCAATTAAGAAATATTAAGCGTTAAAAATAACTTTTTGATAGAAGATTATTTAGGATAAATAATCTTAAAATGTATGTGACAAAGATCCCGTACATATAAAGAACATTGAAAT